TTTAAGTGTCCACGCATAAATAATGGTGCTCATTCACCTCACTCATATGCAAATGCATTACTGTCTTTGATAAGTGGTAAAGTGACAGGTATGCCAAAAACAGTTTTAAAATACATTTCTTTGTGATTTTTTTCCTCAGTAAATGTTCTGTGTTTCTTACATATCTATATCCCCAGGGCTGCAGAGAAATTTCTCACATGTAAAGGAGTTGTCACATGATGGAAAGTTCACAAATATTTGCACACGCGCACTCGTACCCCGCCATGGTTTCCAGAACATGTTATCCAGTGATAATGAAGAATTCTAGGTGAGATACTTGCTTTCCTTTGTTGAAAAGATACCAGGACCTCACTCAGGGTTTTCCCCAGGTACCTGCAGATATGACAGTGAGATCCGCGCAGCGCAGCCATGAGCAAGCACACACGGACGCCAGCAGGCTCCCCAGACCTTCCCCCAGCGCTGCAGGAGAAGCTCGTGTCTGCTGTAACGCTCACACTTGTTATAAACTAACTGGTAAGTGGTATTGCTCTTAACAGTTTCTCTGGACTCCAACTCACTCACCTCGGACCTTATGGACCCATCCTAGCAACGCCTTTAATCCTATCACTCGGGAGGCAGAGACAGTGACTTCAAAACCAGCCTGGACTACATTGCGAGTTCCAGGACAGCCAGGACTAGAAAGACTCTGTCTATAAACAAACAAACAAACAAACAAAAAATAAATAAAGAAAGAAGAAAAGGAAGAGGAGAGGAGAGAACAGGGAGGAAAGGAGAGGTGGGGAGGGGAGACGATAGGAGGGAAGGGGAGAGGAGGGAATGGGAGGAGAGGAGAGGTGAGACAGAAGGCTGTAATCCTGAGGAACTTCAGTCGGGAGGGAGAAACCTCGATTTCTCTTGCTATTCTCCCAAGAACATTTCTTTACTTTTGTGGTTAGAATTGGCCCATCCTGAGTCTGAGCTCTGCAACTTACCCTGTCATGAGACAAAAGCTCGAGGCCACGCAAGCACAGGACACTGCTGTGTCGCCTGCTGGCACAGCTTGCCAGTGACACTTGGGCCACACCCACAGCCACCCTGAGACGCTTGGGGCCGGTGTGCTGGACACGCCCACATGGGCTTGGCACAGGAGGAAGTGCCACATGACACGCAGGTTCACAGATTAACGCACTTGCCCTCCTGTTGGATGGAGGGCACCTGGTGACCAGTGTCAGAACTTAAGACAGGACAGACAGCGCATGTCCTACATGGCTCAGGGACTTGACTCAGCAAGGAAGGAAGGAAGGAAGGAAGGACAGAAACACAGACAAAGAGCTGTGCCCCGATGGGCAGCGCACACGCTGAGGGGCTGGCACCCACTGCACAGCAGCCCGGAATCACACCAGCAGGGGCGTGCCCACACTCCCCGGGCTCTGTGCAGGGGAGCAGGCTCCAGGTGCGGTCACCCGGGAGCAGAAACCTGGTCAATCACTCCTGAACACGCAGACATCTCAAGGTGTCAGGCACCTCTAGGCCTTCCCCGGAGGAAGCTCCCACGGCTTAAGTCATTAGTGTCCTTGACACACCCATTTGTCAGGGCTTCCTCAGCCCCTGCCCACACACAGGCTCAGGGCACCAGGTAGAGACCTTTCAAGGAAAGGATCTTGTGAGACACGCCAATCTCATCGCCTTCACGGTCACAGTGACACACCTACCCAAGTTGCCCACTGCACACCCACCACCCTGACTGCCCAGACTGCCTGAGGGTGACACGCGTCACCTTCTCTCTCTGGATGCCACCTGCTCTTACAGGGCGGTCAGCCAATCTCAGGCAGAAGACAGTTCTGTGCTGTCGCAGCAGCCACCATTTTGAGCGTCTAGCTTTAATTAACAGGTATGTGGGCTTGTTCGCAGTCCCCTGGGAACACTGTCACCAACACAAACACTTGGCAGGGATGGGATGGGTGCCCACATTTGTAAAGCAAGACCACTAGGTATGATTAAACCCTCCCAGCTTCCTGGTAAACAGAATCAGGCATCAGGCTCCCCCTCGTTAGTTCTCTGAATGTGCTAAATGTGGACAGAGTAGGGGAAGACTCGGGGCACGGTTCAAACCCACCAGCAGGAATTAAATAGCCTATTTCTTTTTTAGTGAGAATAATGGCTTCAGAAAGACCCTGCTCCACGGTTGGGAGCCTAAGCAGAAATGCCAGGGAGTGTCTTCTGGTGACCACCCGTCCCCACAACCCCCTAGATGGTGGACAGACGCAGCGTTCCCGCTGTAACATGCCCACCCCAGGGCCCCTTGCACTTCAGGGTCACCTCTGACTCCACCCCGGTTCCAGCCCTAGGAGCCACAGGGCACACCTATTCAGTACAGTAAAGACATGCAGCCGTGTCCACGTGCTTCTGGCCAGCATGTGCCCCTAATGAGCTTGTTTGGCCCAGACCCTCGAGGGAAAGTCTTCCCTCTGCAACTTCTTACAACTGAAGAAACTGAGTGTGTCAGGCCTCCACAACTCCGTCACTGACACCGGCCGGTCCCTCTCTGGTACTGATTCCTTGCCTTCCCGGTGCCCTGGTTTGCCTGCAGAGACAGAGCGGCTCTCCCTGGCCATCCGAGATCAGCAGTTCTCTACCTGTCAGTCTCAACTGAATTCTGGCCCAGCAGTTTGGCCACTCTGGCTGGATACAGACAGGCCTCTAATACCAGGAGGCAGAGACAAGCAGATGTGAGTTCAAGGCCAAGCTGGTATAGAGAAAGTTGCAGACAGAGAAAAGCTTAGGTCCAGGCGTGAGGTGTGGTTGTACATGCCTTTTGGAAGCTTCAAGGACTAGGCCTAGGTTAGCAGACGGAGGCAGTAGGACTCCAAGATGACATAATGTCAGGAGACTAACAGTTACTTTTCCATCTGGCGACACAATTACACAGGGCACTCCACATGGTTGGAAGGACAAGAAGAAGATAGCTCACCAACACTGCAGAAAGCAGAGGTCATCTGACAGAAAACCACAGGGGAGGAATTTGCCTAGTATCGTCTACAGAGGAAGATTCAAGTCTTCAAGTTTGGCTGAACACCGAGAGAGCCTGGGAGTAGCCAGAGCCTCAAGTCCAGAGCAAGGAATGAGCCAGGAATCACAATAAGCCACCGAAAGACAACTGGAAACTCCATTTCAGAGGAAGTAAGAGAACAGGAAATGCTTAATTGTGAACCTATGGCACCTAATGAAACTGAGGATCAAGACAGACATCCCATTGACGATGGCTGAGGAGCCCAGCTTGATGGTGTCAGGAGCTGGCATGGAATGACCGTGCCTAACTGTCTAGTTTATGTGTGGGCTCATAAAGATCTAATTGTACCAGGATCAATTACAGAGGATTATCGCATCAATGTATCTTCATAAGGACATGCAGACTGTTAAGTTTATGGGGTTGATAATTTTTTCTGTTGAAATAGTTAAATTGTATACAATTTTTAGCTTAAACAGGGGAAGGTGTAGAGAAATTTTAATCCAGCAACATGGCTACTCTGGCTGGAATACAGACAGGCCTTTAATTCAAGGAGACAGAGGCATGCAGATCTCTGAGTTCTGTCAGTTCTGTTCAGGCAGTTCGTTTGAGTCAGGGAGCTGAGAGGCGGTGCAGTGGAGCTAAGCTCCTGGCAGTTCAGTTCATGAAATTCAGAGGCAATTTTTATCGAGAGAGAGGCTGAAGACAGAACAAGCTAGACACAGGTGAAGATAGAACGAGCCAGAGAATGAGAAGGAGCCAGAAGATCGGAACAGATTCCTAGAGTTAGTTTGAGGCCAAGCAGAGCAATTCAGTCAGAGGCTGAGAGAGAAGCCAGCTTGAATCACGTCAGCTGGGAGAGGAGTTTGAACCAGAACAGCTGAGTTAAATCAGGCAGCCAGAGCTCAGAAAGAACTAGAAAAGGTGGGCTTATTCAGCAGTAAGTCTAAGAGCTGAAAACATTCTAGTCCTAGGTTAGATTGAACAGAGGCTGGAAGCTCCCAGGACTAGGCCTGGGTCAGCAGGAGGAGGCAGTGAGCCTCCAGGACAGCAATCAAATCAGGCGAATAAAGGTTCTGTTTACATACGGCACCAATAGGGTCGCATATCAGTTACCCTGCATCTCAGATAGTTACGGCTCATAACAAAGTTATAGTTGTGAAGTAACAACAAAAATAATTTTATGGTCAGGGTCACTATAACATGAGGTACTGGACCGCCCGTTAGGGTCGCATTAGGAAGATCGAAAACCACTGCTTTAAATAGACACAAGGGGAATACTTAAAACCAGGGAAGAAAAATGAGAACAAATTAGACAGGAGGGAACACTTCCCCTTAGAATACAATGCTGGGCGGAAGAACTGACATTTTCAACTGCCACAAAACTAAAATATAAAACGGCACCACACTCAAGCCAAGTGATCAAAATTAACACTCCAGGAGTGGGCAGGTGTCCGTGCTGAGCCTCAGGATGTGGCGAGCTGAAACAGACCCTCGTCGCTCCCGGGAACTGGCAAATGTGGGCAGGAAACCATGCAGGCCAGACCGAGGGTCACAGGGTCACCCTTCCTGACAGCACTGGCCCGCGCGCGCTCTTTAGAAACGCGATGAAAGACAAACTGTGCAAGTCTAGTCCGGATTAAGGTAGAACACACTGGATGGTTTCTCAGACTAGAAATAAAAAGCCATTTAAGTTACAAACCGGGGCAGTTGGCAGGAGGAGGACATGGATGCTGAGGTGAGACAGAATCAAACCAGCGCTGAACTCCGCGTCAGGATCCCTGCAGCCAGAGCCGCCACCTCTCTGCCTCTCTGCCCTCCCTCTCTTTTTAAAAGAATGATGTCCTACCTCTCCCATACGCCCAGAACGATAGCACACGCACGAGAACCAACGTCAACACACGGAACATGACCGGTGTCGGCCACACATGGCTGCACGGCTGGCGGCGGGGGCCCACGGCGCACATTTCGGCCCCCGCCCCGCGTGGGCGCCGCGGAGGCCGGGAAGACTCACCATCCTCCGGAGGATCCTGAGCAGAAGCTTCCGGTCCTTGGGCTCCTCCTTGGCCAGCAGGAGGCCGGCGAAGGTGGCCAGGTTTTCTGGGGACAGGCTGTCGGGGTGCTCTCCTCCGTACAGCTGCACGAGGACGGACAGGCACGTGGCCGAAGCCGCGGCGATCTCGGGGTCCTCGCTGGGAAGCTGCAGGTGGGCAGAGAGGGCTGCGTGAGCTCTGTGACCTGCCCAGCCCACCGCGCCGGCGCGCGCGCGAGGGGAAGGGTGAGCGACGCCCCAGGGGCCTCACCGTTCCCCGTGGAGGCTGTTTGCACCAAGCCTAAGCTCCGCCGCTTTCCTCCGGCCCACAGGGGAGAGCGGCCTACGCCGAGAGCGGGAAGAGCGCACGCGTGCAGCCAACACACTCACTCCAGTGCATCGACAGTGGTCTGCGTCAACCCCGTGTCATCAGCCTGCTTTTCACACGCCTCCCTCCTCATGGCCTTTGCTTTCTTCTTGAGACAGGGCCTCACTGGGTGGCCCAGGCTGGCCTCGGCCCCTGCATGCAGGCTCACAGAAGCGTAGCCCAGGCTGGCCTCGGCCCCTGCATGCAGGCTCACAGATGTGGCCCTGTATACCTCTTTAGACAAATACTTGGCAGTAGCTTGTTTGGGAAACCTCTGCCCCATAAAAGACACCAAGGCTTATTACTCCTAAGGTGAGCTCTTAAGGCTTTTACGAACACGGTAACTTTGCTTATTTTCTTCTTCACAAGCTCACTATGGTACGGAGAGCTACTGGGTTTTGTGGAGTGAATCTGCGTCCTGCTGCTTAGCTGATCATCGCTTTGTGCTGAGTATATCTCGTGCACGCTGACGTGATGCTATGAGGCTCCTGTGACTGTTTGCACAGGGTCCCTCTCTGGGGAGCCCAGGGCAGCTGCCAGGGTGTGCGAGGGGTCTCGGGCTCACTAACGAGGCTGTGAAAGCGGCTCTGGAACAGGAGCACCCTCCCTCCACACAGCCCCGCCCCCACGTGTGCGGTGTGGTCAGCCTCATCTTCTTCACATCAGAGCTCTTTAAACAGTCCTGGTGCAGCCCTCTGTCGGCTCGGTATTTTCCAAGTGTTCCCTGCATGTGTGAGCATGTTCTCCTCGTCAACTTCGCAAAGTCTTTGGCAGAAAAAAAAAATAAAATAATTTTGATGAAATCCAATGAATAGATTTCCTATTCCCAGGAATGATGCTTTGGTGTCAAATTTGAAAACTTCTTGGCTACACCTTCAGTCCTAAAGATTTTGTCTTATTTTTTAATATAAATTTAATATAGTTTTATATTTTACACTTAAATTTCACTTAGTTTGGGGCTGACTTGCATATTAAATGTGAGGCTTAGGAAGAGAAGCCTAAGCCTTGTTTCTTGCAAGCCCCCAGGCCCCTCCCAACCAAAAGCCTGTTGCTCCATCCTGGGAGGAGTACAGGAAAGCCGCCCGCCCCCCCCCCCCCACTATCTCAGGCCCACCGTGTCCCCAGTTCAATGCCTTCCTAGCTGCCGCCCCCCGGCCTCCAACTGAAGAGGAGATTCTCCACTCTACCAGAGACAACACACACTACAAGAAATCCCAGCCCCACTGACTAGGTCAGAGAGGAAACAGAAGCCAGGGAGCAAACATCCATTCAGCAGAGACGAACTCCGAGATTGGCACCTACACCTATACCCACTCCAACCCCAGATGCCTAAAGGCCAGTGCAAGAACAGTCACCAGCAGTCACACACAGTGTCACCACCACGGCCCAGCCACCCCACCACAGCAAGCCCGGAGTATTCCAACTCGGACAAAGCACAGGAAGATACTGTACAACCAACTTTACGAAGATGATGGAGCTCCTTAGAGAAAATGACTAAATCCCTTGATGGAATCCAGGAAAATACACAGAAACAACGGGAGGAAATGACTAAAACTATTCAAGACCTGAAAATGGAAAGAGAAGCAATAAAGAAAACACAAACTGAAGGAATCGTGGAGATGGAAACCTAAGGAAGAAAACAGGAACTACAGACCAGAGCATTGCCAACAGCATATAAGAGAGGAAGACAGACTCTCAGGAGCAGAAGACACAATTGTAGAAACCAATACATCGGTCAAAGAAAATCTTAAATCCAAAAAGTTCCTGACAGAAAATCTGGTACACTGTGAGAAGACCAAACCTACAAATAATAATAATAGAGAAAGAGGAAGAATCCAAGCTCGAAGACACAGAAACTATTTTTAACAAATTCATAAAAATTTGTTAAAAAATTCCCAACCTAAATAAATGCCTATAAAAGTACAAGAAGCTCACAAAACACCAAAGAGATTGAACCAGGAAGGTCCCCTGCCACATAATAGTCAAAACTGAACATTCAACAAAGAAAGGATACTAGAAGCTGGAAGAGAGAAATAACAAGTAACATATAAAGGAGACCAAATCCAACTCCTCCAACTTCTCAGCATAGACTTTAAAAGTCAGAAGGGCCTGAGCAGACATCCTGCAGACTCTAAGAGAGCAGATTCCAGCCCTAACTACTATACCCCGCAAAACTTTCAGTCACCACAGATGGAGAAAACAAGATATTCCATGACAAAGCCAACTTTAAACAACATCCATTCACAAATCCAGCCCCACAGAAGGTACTAGAAGGAAAACTCTGACCCAAGGAGGTTAACTATACCTGCCAAAGCACAGCAATAGCTAATCTCACAGCAGCAAAACCAAAAGAAACACACACACACACACACACACACACACACACACACACACACACACACCCTACCACCACCACCAACAAAATAACAGGAATTAACAATCGCCCATCTCTGATATGTATGGATTATCAATAGATTTAATTCCCTAATTTTAAAAAAGTACAGACTAACAGAATGGATGGGAAAACAGGATCCATGCTGTCACATACTGGAAACACACCTTGCCATCAAAGAAAGACATTGTAACAGATTGCAGGGGTGGAAATGATTTTCCAAGCAAATGGACCTAAGAAACAAGCTTATGCAGCCATCTTAATAGCTAACAAAGTAGACTTCAAAGTTATCAAAAGAGACACTTTATACTCTTCAAAGGAAAAATCCATCAGGATGATCTTTTAATTCTTAACATCTCTGGCAGAAACACAAGGGCACCCAGGTTTCTACAAGAAACACTGCCGCAGCTTAAGTCGCACACTGACTCTCGCACAGACAGTGGGCGACGTCAACACTCCAACAACAGACAGGTCATCTGGACAAAAACTAAACAGAGAAATCCTGGAGCTGACAGACGTTACGAACCAAATGGACCTAACACATACCCACAGAACATTTCATAGAAACAAATAAACCTCCTTCCTCAAAGCACTTTGGGAAATTTCTCTACCACTGGCCACATACTTGGTCACAAAGCAAGTTTCAACAGACAGGAGAAAACTGAAACAGCCCTCTGCACGCCATCACAGCACCACCTAAGCTGCATATGATCAACAACAGAATCAGCAGAAAGCCCACAAACTCAGGGAAACTGAACAACCCTCTGCTGAATGATAACTGGGTCAGGATGGAAATAAAGAAAGAAATTAAAGACTCTCTAGAATTCAATGAAATTGAAGGTGCAACAATACTCAAACTTATGGGACACAGTGAAAGCAGTGCTAAGAGGAAAGTTCACAGCACTACATAAAGAAAGTTAAAAGATCTCATGCTGGTAACTTAACAGCACACCTGAAAGCCCTAGAACAAAAAGAAGCAAACACACCCAAGAGGAGTAGACAGCAGGAAACAATCAAAGTCAGGGCTGAAGTCAGTAAAACAGGAACAAAGAGAACAATACAGTGAACGGATGAAAAAGACTTTGTTATTTGAGAAAATCAAAAAGGTAGATAAACCGTTAGATAAGCCTAACTAACTAAAAGATGGAGAAGAATATCCAAATTAACAAAATCAAAAACAAAAGGGGGATGTAACAAAGACACGGAGGAAATCCAAAGGTTTCCTACGCAGTCACTAGGCAGGGCTGGCCTTTTGAGAGAATGTGTGCCCTATGTCACCTACGAATGGCAGCTACGACACCAGACTCTCTCCTAAGCTTAGAGAAATAGGATTGGGCATTCACTGGTAAATACGGCGTTGGCTGTGGAGTCTTAAGACTTAGACACTTGACCGGCTCGAGAAGGCTTCCCATCCAACCCTAGTTAGAGGAGAATTTTTATCAGAAACTAGGGAGAGACTTTGTCAAGCACTTTTTCTGTGTGGACTCACAGTACACCCAATTTCCTCGTAGCACCACGCACACGGCAGGATATAGTGACAGGTGTTTGTGGAACAACCCTCGCACACCTGGACGGAATCCTGCCGGACCGCTGTGCTCTGCTGCAAACAGGTGTGCTCAACTCACAAACACTGCACTGGGGGGTGAGACCTGAGTCATGAGAGACACTGGTCTGTGGTCTGAGTAGTGGTGGTTTCTGTGGTGTGTGTGTATGTTTTGGTGTTTTGCTTTTCTGGTCATTCTTTGAAGTCAACATCAGACCGACACCATCCTCAGGAAATGGATTGGGAAATAATTTCTTTCCTCTTTTCTGAAAGAAATTATGTAAAACTGTTGCCCAATCTTCCCTGTTAGAATATTCTGGTGAAATTGTTTGGGGTTGGAAAGATTAGAAATTTAATTTCTTTAATGATTCCAGAACAATTCGCTGCTCATCTTGGTTGAAGTTTTGTAGTTATAAAGGAACCGATTACTGTCTTCGTTTGTTCAGAACATCCCCGGAAGCTGGTCTTAGAGGCGGCACCATCCCACCCCACCCCAGCTCTCTCTGCTTCTCTCATCTTTGTTGGCGTCCTGGGAGGCCTGGCGGCTGCTCCTCACATAACTGCTGGCTCCAGGCCCTGCTCACTCTCCACATGACCCAGGCTGGCCTCACTCGCACCCTCTGCCTCAGCCTCCCAAGCAGGATCATACACTGTGGCACCACGCCTGCCTGGGCCTTTCCGCTTTATAAGTTTTTAGTATTAGACTTTTTCTTTAAAGGATGCTTTCAAGTACATCCTACAAATTTGGTATGTTTCATTTCAGTTCACTTCTGTGTATTAAGACTTCCTTTGAGAATCATCTTTGACCTGTGGGTTATTTTAAGCGTGTTTGCCGTTTAGCTGTGAAGGTTTATCCTGTTGTCCTT